TTAAATTTTTACATTACATTTTTAACCCAAAAGTTGGGTTAGTCCATATTTGACCCAAAGTTGGGTTGAAACAACCCAGCATTTTTAAGAGTGTAGCATGACAAAATCATGGCAATATTATGACTAGACTATGTGACCAATAAATATGCGAACTGATGAACATGCATCAGATATTGTTCAAACTGCAATAAAATGCATCCACTGTTTATTTGTGTTTAAGGGAACGAAGAAAGCAAATACATTCTGCATTTAAATGGGGGTGAATGGATGTGTGTGACCTGCATTGATCGAAGATCGACAACTCCCGAGCCAACTACCAGTTCAACATCACATACGACAACTAACAATCCAACTACCAGTTCAACATCGCAAACGACAACTAACAATCCAACTACCAGTTCAACATCGCAAACGACAACTAACAATCCAACTACCAGTTCAACATCACATACGACAACTAACAATCCAACTACCAGTTTCATGCCAGATAGGACAACTCCCGAGCCAACTGTCCCACCAGCTGAGATAACTTTCAGTCTAACAGATGGGCAGAACGAAACAGATGACCAACCACAGACAAACACAGATAAAGTTGAACCCCAAAAGGCAGCGTAAGTGTGCGGTTACCAGCAGATTTCAAATCTAAAACTTAGTTACAGAATACCAAGTGATTCAATGCATTTTACAGAGAAAACTTGGAAAAAGTAGAGTCACTGGTGGAGCTGATGGAAAAAAGCAATAAAAGCAATGCGGCGATTGTCATGGGGGATGTTATTGGTGTTCTCCAAAGACAACCCAAGAACACAGAAACCAAAGACATCAACATATGCTACTCTTCAAGCCAGAACATGATAAACGTAAGGCCTGAGCAGCATTAAAACAAGGGGAAGAATTAACATTTATTAATGCCATTTCTTCTTTTCACAGGTTGTTGAGAGCAACCAGGCAGGTTATCCCTGGTCTGTAAAGATTCCCAGTGAAGCCTTTGATAAATCACGTCCAGAAAACAATGGAAGTGCATTTGTTGGAGTTTTACGATTCATAAACATGGGAAATAAGGTTTGCTTCTGTGTTTTTTCTACTCTGATTCTTCAAAAATTCTACTTGGACAAATTTCTTGATCTGTTGTATTGACAAATATTTATATTTGATTGCTCTGTTATGGTTTCTGATTTAGGATGAAACTGAAACTCACACTGTTTTGAACAATGAGAGTTATGGAATAACGATGGGTGCCAACATCTCCAACCTTACCGACAATATTGACATGATCATTAAAAAGAAAGATAATGTGGTAATGAAGGTTTTGTTGCAAAGCTTATTATATTACACTGTGAAATCAAAATGAAAATAAACGTGTTCTTAACAGGTTGGAAATGTGTCCTGCGTTTCTTGGGATGGCAAAGGTACATTCATTTATGATCCTATCAACAAACTCAGTATATTTTCTATAATTAATTTAATTCATCTCTCTCTTTTCTTTGAAGGAAAGCTTAATTGGACAACGTTCGGCTGTGAGACAAAAATCAACAACAACACCATAAAGTGCTCCTGCTCTCATCTGACGTTCTTTGCAGTGCTGATGGTGAAAAGAAGAACTTACACTATCATCATTCATGTTTCATTTAAAGATCCCAAGAAATCAAAATCTTTTAGTCTTTTAGTCCACGTCTATATGCGAGTGAACTCAAAAGATGTCAAAATCCTTGGTCAGTACACTCCTGTATTTTTTAATCTCAGAGAGCTTTTTCCTGGATATTTAAAGGTTATAATAAAAAAATAAACTTTTAATATATATATGCATCTAAAAAAATAAAACCTCCTTTTGTGAAGACAAACAATTTAGTTCAAAAATGTTTCTAGAACAATACAGCGTCTGACTAGTGATAGCAAAGCAATGATGTCAATAAGTCTGTTTCACACTTTCAAGAGCCCTCAAAAAAAAAAGAATCAAGCATCAAGCACGTAATAAAACAAAACAAAACATTTAAATACAGTAGCTACGTTTGCATGCACCCAAAAAATCCATTAGTACCTGAATTTGACGACTCAGTTAGGATAGAAAATCCTTCAAACACCTCAATCAATCCAACTGAACTTGATCCGAAATAAATTTTGGATTGAAAGTGATGTAGACCTAAAATAATCCAATCAATAATCCAATTTAACTAGCTTCTCAATTGGATTAAAAATTACCTTGTGCAAATGTGCAACGCCACAATGCGTTTTGAAATCTACATTTTAATTTTTACGAACTGGTCAGGGGATGAGGTTGAATATTTACCAAATATTTGCTAAAAAATATTTTTTTAGGTAGCCTGTGTCATATAGGTAATTAAACATCTTTTTATACATCTCTCTCCGGTTCTAAAGGCGTCAGCTGATGAACTGTGCAAGCGCTTAAGTTTTGATTGAAATAAATGTAATGTACATATAAATGAAAATGTGAATCGGATTGCAAAGTTTAGGGTTCATATAGACAGAGCTTTCAGAAACTGAAACCAGACTGGATTTGATTGGATTGATGAAAATTAGTGCATGTAAAACTTGCATAAGTGAGTCAGTGCATCCAAATGGTGTTGTTATGACCATCTACCAACTCTCAGTTATGCTGATTCGAGCCATAAAATGAATGTGGAGCAGCTCAGATTAGTACTTGAGAAATATTTGATTTCATATTGAGACTCTTGAAATCTGATTTTTAAGTACAGACTTTTGTACTTCAGCAGAGTTTAGGACATTGTTGAGATCTCCACTAAAGTCTCCATTTGCTCTGCATTCAATCTCATTGCTATCTAGGAGAAACAGTTGAGATCTTGCGTGCTTTTTATGTCTTTTCAAGTTTGTGTGTCCTCATTCCTTTTGACATATAACATGATGACATTGTAGAAATGACAGCAAAAAAAAAAAAGTTTTTTGTCTTTTCTCCAATAATTCAGTCTCTGCCAGATAAAACTGAAACAGCGCCGCATCTGGAATCACTGACTTTAATCTCTTCTATCGGCTGCGGCATCTCCATGTTTTTTATGGCCATCGCTTTATTCATGCATTTCCTGCTACGGTAGAGTATCTTATAGTATATTATATAGTTAGTGCTGTTTAGTAATCAGTAATCACTAATACTACACTAAGAAACTATTTTAACTTGGAAATTGCTAGAGCATTTACAAAGAAACAGCAATGCATTGAATTAAACTTGAAATTTTGAAGTTTAAAGATTGAAATGTAATACAAGTGATGAGCTCAAAGCTCTAAAGTATTAAAGTTCAGGTTACAAGAACAGTTGTTTTTGTGTTTTAATAGGAAAGCCAAATCAAATCAGGCCACGAAGATCTTGATGAACATGTTTGTGGCTTTGTGTCTACTGAATGCCTCGTTTTTGTCAAACGAGAGATCCAGCATTACTGCTGTGGAAAATATTTATAACTAGCATAATTAGGATAGAAGGTCTTCTATGTCTCAGACTTTCTTACACTGATTTCTTAAACTGATCTGTACATGTGTTGTTTGAGGGGAAACTGTGTATTCTCACCAAAATCAAGCTCAAAAACAACACAAAGACAAAAATGTATTAAAGTTCAGGTTACAAGAACAGTTGTTTTTGTGTTTTAATAGGAAAGCCAAATCAAATCAGGCCACGAAGATCTTGATGAACATGTTTGTGGCTTTGTGTCTACTGAATGCCTCGTTTTTGTCAAACGAGAGCGTCGCTAACACACAAGACAACGCTGCGTGCGTCTTCATAGCGCTGCTCCTGCATTACTCCATGCTGGCCTCATTCACCTGGTTCTTCATTCAAGCTCTTCATATGTACTTATGGCTCATCAGACAGAACGTCACCATCACAAACTACATGAGGAAGATCACCGTGTTGGGCTGGGGTGAGTTAGAGCAACAAAACCCTATTAAGAAAATAAAATTGCCATGAGGTTTAGGTAGTGACGTCTGTCTTGAGCGTTTAAAAATAGAGGAGTTTATGCTGGATTTATCAGGGACACTTTCATTGTGAATAGACTGGCTGTGTTTATAAAGTTTATTAATTTGACACTATATCTTTACTTTGGGATTCAGAAACAAAGCTTGCATCTGTCCAACTGTAAATCAAGTGTATCCCAATTATAGTTGTGGTGACACTACAGCTGTCTTTTTTCCTTCAATTAAATCAGTTTATGTGTTTCCAGTGTGTGCCGCTCCGATAGTCGTAGCTATTGCTTCTGTAGGAGGATATGAAGCAGTGAGCCTAAACACTACGTCTGGAAAAATTGCACGAATGTAAGTTGGTTTGATGTCACAAATTCATACATTTATTGATGTTCAATGATTGCCTTCTTAAACTCAATATTTTCAAATTACAGGTGCTGGACTACAAATCCTTACATTCACTACATAGTGAACATCGGCTACTATGCTTTAGTTTTCGTCTTCACGACAGGAGTCTTCATCATGATCGTCACTAAGGTCGTTCAGGCCAGAAACATAAAAGCAGTTGACGGCAAGAGAAAGATGTTCAGAAAGCAGCTGATGATGGTGTTGAGTTTGTTCCTGCTCTTCGGTCTGACGTGGTCTGTGGCGTTCTTCAGTTATGGACCGATGCTCATTCCCTCATATTATATATTCACTGTGTTGAACTCATTACAGGGTGAGAAACAATCACATGCATCGATACATTTGGCTTAGTAGAACGCTTCTATTTTTTCCTGCAGATTTCCGCAAATAATTAGAGCTAAGGATGTTTTAAATGATTTATTATTTAATTTCTCTCATTCTTTTTTCAGGGTTCTTCCTCTTCCTGTATTACTACCATATTCACAATGACGTCGCGGGTCATTTCTCAGATGATCCAGAAAGCACCGACTCCGCTACAACCATCGCTCAATCCAGCATTACTGCTGTGGAAAATATTTATAACTAGCATAATTAGGATAGAAGGTCTTCTATGTCTCAGACTTTCTTACACTGATTTCTTAAACTGATCTGTACATGTGTTGTTTGAGGGGAAACTGTGTATTCTCACCAAAATCAAGCTCAAAAACAACACAAAGACAAAAGTCACTTATGAACAAGAAAGAACTGTTTAAAATGATGCATGCACATAATAACCTTAAAAAGAATCAATTTTAGTGATAAAACTCAAAATGATTGACTAACAATTGTTACTGAAACTTTATTATTGTAGAAGGATTGAATATGACATAACCTGATATTCCTGATGTTCAATTTATTGAGAGTTATAATCATCATTCCGTCCTCTACAGTGGTGTGAAAAAGTGTTGGCCCCCTTCCTGATTTCTTCTTTTTTTGCATGTTTGTCACACTTTAATGTTTCAGATCATCAAACAAATTTAAATATTAGTAAAAGATAACACAAGTGAACACAACATGCAGTTTTTAAATGAAGGTTTTTATTATTAAGGGAAAACAAAATCCAAAAATACATGGCCCTGTGTGAAGAAGTGTTGGCCCCCCTGTTAAAACTGTGGTTTATCACACCTGAGTTCAATTTCTCTAGCCACACCCAGGCCTGATTACTGCCACACCTGTTCGCAATCAAGAAATCTCTTAAATAGGAACTGCCTGACAAAGTGAAGTAGACGACGAGGGCGGTTGGCGACACTAGGATGTGACTGGAGCAGAGATGGAAGGAAGTGACGTAGGATCAGGAAGTGAGCTGGACATAGAGGATGAATGTATTGGCGGGGAGAAAGGAGGTAAAAATGGAAATTGGAACATAGTAGAAAATCGGAAAAGGAAAAAAAAATGGAATCAACTTTCTGGTTCGGAAAGTGAAAGGGAAAGACAACAGGAGAAAAGGAAAAAGGAAGAGTTTAAGGTAATGATACATTTCTTGTCCGATAATATGAATGCATTGAACCCACTGAAAATAACTAAAGCGATCAAAGAAGAGATCGGGAAAATCGAACATGCGAAAATGTTACGGAATGGAAAGTTGCTACTTTTTTGTAAAGATAGCAGACAACAAAAACAGGTACTAGGCTTAAAGACATTAGCAGGGAAAAAAATTTCGTGTACACTGTTGGAAGAGAAGAAATGGATGAAGGGAGTAATAACAGGGGTCCCAACAGATGTATCAGAAGACACAATCAAGAGAAGTTTATCAGGAGCAAAAGTGGTAGGGGTCAAACGTCTGAAATATGTTAGAGATAAAGAAAAGCTGGATAGCTTATCTGTAATGGTGCAGTTTGATGAGGAAAGATTACCAGAAAGAGTATTCTTTGGGTTTATAAGCTATGCTGTTAGACAGTATGTTCCTCCTCCGCTTAGATGCTATAAATGTCAAAAGTACGGGCATGTGGCAGCTGTTTGTAAGGGAAAACAACGTTGTGCGAGGTGTGGTGGAGAACATGAATATGGAAAATGTGGACAGGGTGTAAAACCCAAATGTTGCAATTGTGGAGGTGATCACAGTGCTGGCTATGGTGGATGTCAAGTAAGAAAAGAAGCAATGAAAATTCAAAGTGTCAAGGTTTCGGAAGGGTTAACATATGCTGAAGCATTAAAAAGGGTTAAGGTGGTAGAACCAAAAGAAAATACTCAAAAGGTTACAACTAGAACAAAAGAAAGCCATAGTTGTAGCAAGGTGAATGAGAATACTATGCTAGTAGACAAAGTATCATTCATTGCCTTTGTGGCTGAAGTAATAAACTGCTCTGCACAAACAGAAAGTAGAACAGAAAAGATTAGAATTATAATCCGAGCAGCAGGAAAACATCTGAAAACAGAAGAAGTAACTGTGGAGCAAATAAATGAGAGAATCAAGATGCAAAATACAAACTCTCAAGCAGCATGTGGTGGATTGTAATGGTTTTTACAATTTTACAGTGGAATGCAAGAAGTTTGATCGCTAATGGACAGGAGTTTAAAAAATTTGTTGATAGTTTAGAAAGCAGACCGCAAATTATATGTATACAGGAAACATGGCTGAAAACGCATTTAAACTTTGTTTTACAAGGATATGTAGCAGTACGAAGAGATAGGGGTGTTGGAAATGGAGGTGGAGTTGTTACCTTTGTACAAGAAGGAATAGGATTTAGAACAGTGCAGGTAAATAAGGAATATGAGTCGTTGGTGGTTGAAGTTTGGGCCGAATCACAAAGTATATGGGTGATAAATTTTTATAACCCATGTGAAAGGTTAAGTAGAGAAACATTAGAGAGTATTGGGGGATTAGGAAATCATAAAATGATATGGTGTGGGGATTTTAATGCTCACAATACGCTATGGGGAAGTGTACATAATGATCAGAATGGAAATGTAGTAGAAGAGATGTTGGAATGGAAAGATTTAATATGCTTAAATGATGGTAGGAATACAAGGGTAGATGTTGCACAGGGAAGAATTTCAGCAATAACATTAAAATGTGACAAACATGCAAAAAAATAAGAAATCAGGAAGGGGGCCAACACTTTTTCACACCACTGTATATGTGATTATGTGCGTTTCAGAGTGACTCAAACAACACTGAACCTCTTTTACTAAACAAATTTGCATCTTCAGGATGAAAGTAATATCCACACGCCTCTGGATTCATATGTTTGCATGGTTATTATTAGATATAGCAGCTTGATAAAATCCACGCACATGGATATGGTGTATATTTGGTATATGAAAACACCATACAAAACACTGTCAGAATCAACTAATGTTTTTTGCATTATTTAATGTGGTTTACATATACAGATGCTCTGTTATCTCTGAATGACTGTCATGAATCTATAAAATGTCATTGTTCATCATGATGGACTTTCAGAGGCTCCAAAATTATTTATTCACTTCAGTCAAACTTGTAAATATGTGAATGCACTTCAAATATGTGAAAGATTGTACTTCATTGTTTCTATGAAAAAAGCTCAAACTTGTTCAAACTTTTCTGTACGGGAATATGAATGTAAATATTGCAAATTAATTTAAATATTGCCTAATTGCCTCTAATAAAGGTTAAGCTTTTATTGGCATTTTGTTGCTACTTTTATTAAGTATATGTATTTATTTTCTACATTTATATTGTTCTCCGTGAACAAAGATGACTTGATAAACTAGACCTGAACGTAACCAGATACTTCAATTCTCAGTTAAAGCCCATATAAACATAATTTGCATGTTTTCAGATGAACTGTTTGTCACAACTATATGCTGAAGCTCACAGGTTTATGTGTGGACAGATCAAACTCTCTCAACTCTTGGACTGTGGACTTTATCTCAAGAATGTTATGAGAAAATTATTAAAGATTTATTTCCAAAGCCTGTAGATAACCAAGCTAGCATGTGTCTGTCTTTGGGAATTATGTCTCGACAAAAGAAGAATTTGCTGTGGCTGATGGTTGTCTGTTGTTCTACGTGCCAGATAAGTATGTTACCTTGAAAAATGGATTCATCAACAAATATATGCCAATGAATGTGTTGTTTGGTGAATATTGGAAAACAAATTAAAGTTTAAGCAAAAAAAACATTGTGGCTGTGGGCATCTAAATTGTGACATAGAGCTTTATATAATGTCATACATTGTTACATGATAAACTCAAATGTTGTCTTTGTGCAGCCAGCTCAGAAAATCTGATCCAAATCAACATCCAAGTCAGTTTGACAGATGAATATTTATTTAACAGAAGTAGCTCACCATATCCAGGTAGACATGAAATATACTGCAAACATGACTGTGTGAATACTTCATATTATTTATCTGAGAGCACTTGTGATGTCTGAAACTCATTGAGTTCATTTCATGTCAATCAGATAATAACATATATAATTTTCACATAAATGTCGAACTAAACATCAAGCCTGTTGATCCTGGAGAGATATGTAGAAACGCAGTATATGACAAAAGTACATGCAGCGGTAAGTCTGTTTTAAAATTTATAAATTGCTTTTCAGTTGTTTATATTGCCTGTTTCATTCAAATTAAAGTTTAATCAAATACAGCACAATGCAAACAGACATTTATTTCTCTAATAAAAAAAAACATTAAGTTGGGTTAATTCTAAGCTTTTAACTTGTACTTCCTTTGAAAATCAAGCGGAGTAATTCATTCACGATAAGTTGACACTGTTTACTGCTTTAAATAAACAGTTATTGAAAGCATGACAAAATCAATTATGGCAATAATATGATTGGACTCTATCAATAATAAATGTGTGAACTGATGAACATGCATCTATAATGTTGAAATTACAGTGTTGCTTGGTTTATAAATAACCAACATAACATATATATATACAGTGGGTACGGAAAGTATTCAGACCCCCTTAAATTTTTCACTCTTTGTTATATTGCAGCCATTTGCTAAAATCATGTAACATACCATATATATTAGTTTCATTTCAATTGCAATAAAATGCATCCATTGTTTATTTCTTTGTTGAAGGGAAAGAAGGAAGCAGATATGTTCTGCATTTTAAAGAGGGCAAATGGATGTGCGTGACCTGTGTTGATGGAAGATCAACCACCATTACACCACTGTCACACACTACAGCTCACAATCCAACTACCAGTTTTGCATCATATATGGCAACTCCCGACTCAACTATCAGTTTCGCACCAGACAAAACAACTCACTACCCAACTACCAGCTTTGCACCAGTTAAAACAACTCCCAACTTAACTACCAGTTTTGCGGCAGGCACATCAACCCCCGTGGTAGCTACTAGTTTCACATTAGATACGACAACTCCTGACCAAACTACCAGTTTTGCATCATATATGACAACTCCCAACCCATCTACCAGTTTCGCATCAGACAGAACAACTCCCGAGCCAACTATCAGTTTAGCACCAGAAATGACAACTCCCAACCAAACTACCAGTTTTGCGCCAGATAATACAACTCCTGTGCCAACTACCAGTTTTGCATCATATATGACAACTCCCGATTCAACTTCCAGTTTCACATCAGATAACACAAATCCCGAGTCAACTACCAGTTTATCACCAGATACGACAACTCCCGATTCAGCTACCAGTTTCACATCAGATAACACAAATCCCGATTCAACTTCCAGTTTCACGTCTTATACGACAACTCCCGATTCAACTTCCAGTTTCACATCAGATAACACAAATCCCGAGTCAACTACCAGTTTATCACCAGATACGACAACTCCCGATTCAGCTACCAGTTTCACATCAGATAACACAAATCCCGATTCAACTTCCAGTTTCACGTCATATACGACAACTCCCGATTCAACTTCCAGTTTCACGTCATATACGACAACTCCCGATTCAGCTACCAGTTTCACATCAGATAACACAAATCCCGAGTCAACTACCAGTTTATCACCAGATACGACAACTCCCAACCAATCTACCAGCTTCACACCAGATAAAACAACTCCCAACCCAACTACCAGTTTCGTGACATATACGGCAACTGACCCAACTGCCAGTATCACGCCAGATACAGAAACTACCAACCCAACTACCATTTTCACGTCGTATACAGCAACTTCCGATCTAACTACCAGGTTCACATTGCATACGACAACTCACAATAAAACTACAAGTTTCACATCACATATGACAACTTCCGAGCCAATTACAAGCTTCCCACTACATACAATAATTCTCAAGCCAACTACCAGTTTGACGTCACATACGACAACTCACAATCCAACTACCAGTTTGACGTCACATACGACAACTCACAATCCAACTACCAGTTTCACGTCACATACGACAACTCACAATCCAGCTACCAGTTTGATGTCCCAAATGACAACTAACAATCCAACGACCAGTTTGACGTCACATACGACAACTCACAATCCAACTACCAGTTTGACGTCACAAATGACAACTAACAATCCAACTACCAGTTTGACGTCACATACGACAACTCACAATCCAACTACCAGTTTGACGTCACAAATGACAACTAACAATCCAACTACCAGTTTGACGTCACATACGACAACTCACAATCCAACTACCAGTTTGACGTCACAAATGACAACTAACAATCCAACTACCAGTTTGACGTCACATACGACAACTCACAATCCAACTACCAGTTTGACGTCACAAATGACAACTAACAATCCAACTACCAGTTTGACGTCACATACGACAACTCACAATCCAACTACCAGTTTGACGTCACAAATGACAACTAACAATCCAACTACCAGTTTGACGTCACATACGACAACTCACAATCCAACTACCAGTTTGACGTCACAAATGACAACTAACAATCCAACTACCAGTTTGACGTCACATACGACAACTCACAATCCAACTACCAGTTTGACGTCACAAATGACAACTAACAATCCAACTACCAGTTTGACGTCACATACGACAACTCACAATCCAACTACCAGTTTGACGTCACAAATGACAACTAACAATCCAACTACCAGTTTGACGTCACATACGACAACTCACAATCCAACTACCAGTTTGACGTCACAAATGACAACTAACAATCCAACTACCAGTTTGACGTCACATACGACAACTCACAATCCAACTACCAGTTTGACGTCACAAATGACAACTAACAATCCAACTACCAGTTTGACGTCACATACGACAACTCACAATCCAACTACCAGTTTGACGTCACAAATGACAACTAACAATCCAACTACCAGTTTGACGTCACATACGACAACTCACAATCCAACTACCAGTTTGACGTCACAAATGACAACTAACAATCCAACTACCAGTTTGACGTCACATACGACAACTCACAATCCAACTACCAGTTTGACGTCACAAATGACAACTAACAATCCAACTACCAGTTTGACGTCACATACGACAACTCACAATCCAACTACCAGTTTGACGTCACAAATGACAACTAACAATCCAACTACCAGTTTGACGTCACATACGACAACTCACAATCCAACTACCAGTTTGACGTCACAAATGACAACTAACAATCCAACTACCAGTTTGACGTCACATACGACAACTCACAATCCAACTACCAGTTTGACGTCACAAATGACAACTAACAATCCAACTACCAGTTTGACGTCACATACGACAACTCACAATCCAACTACCAGTTTGACGTCACAAATGACAACTAACAATCCAACTACCAGTTTGACGTCACATACGACAACTCACAATCCAACTACCAGTTTGACGTCACAAATGACAACTAACAATCCAACTACCAGTTTGACGTCACATACGAAAACTCACAATCCAACTACCAGTCTGATGTCACAAATGACAACTAACAATCCAACGACCAGTTTGACGTCACATACGACAACTCCCAATCCAACTACCAGTTTGACGTCATATACGACAACTCACAATCCAACGACCAGTTTGACGTCACATACGACAACTCCCAATCCAACTACCAGTTTGACGTCATATACGACAACTCACAATCCAACGACCAGTTTGACGTCACATACGACAACTCCCAATCCAACTACCAGTTTGACGTCATATACGACAACTCACAATCCAACGACCAGTTTGACGTCACATACGACAACTCCCAATCCAACTACCAGTTTGACGTCATATACGACAACTCACAATCCAACGACCAGTTTGACGTCACATACGACAACTCCCAATCCAACTACCAGTTTGACGTCATATACGACAACTCACAATCCAACGACCAGTTTGACGTCACATACGACAACTCCCAATCCAACTACCAGTTTGACGTCATATACGACAACTCACAATCCAACGACCAGTTTGACGTCACATACGACAACTCCCAATCCAACTACCAGTTTGACGTCATATACGACAACTCACAATCCAACGACCAGTTTGACGTCACATACGACAACTCCCAATCCAACTACCAGTTTGACGTCATATACGACAACTCACAATCCAACGACCAGTTTGACGTCACATACGACAACTCCCAATCCAACTACCAGTTTGACGTCATATACGACAACTCACAATCCAACGACCAGTTTGACGTCACATACGACAACTCCCAATCCAACTACCAGTTTGACGTCATATACGACAACTCACAATCCAACGACCAGTTTGACGTCACATACGACAACTCCCAATCCAACTACCAGTTTGACGTCATATACGACAACTCACAATCCAACGACCAGTTTGACGTCACATACGACAACTCCCAATCCAACTACCAGTTTGACGTCATATACGACAACTCACAATCCAACGACCAGTTTGACGTCACATACGACAACTCCCAATCCAACTACCAGTTTGACGTCATATACGACAACTCACAATCCAACGACCAGTTTGACGTCACATACGACAACTCCCAATCCAACTACCAGTTTGACGTCATATACGACAACTCACAATCCAACGACCAGTTTGACGTCACATACGACAACTCCCAATCCAACTACCAGTTTGACGTCATATACGACAACTCACAATCCAACGACCAGTTTGACGTCACATACGACAACTCCCAATCCAACTACCAGTTTGACGTCATATACGACAACTCACAATCCAACGACCAGTTTGACGTCACATACGACAACTCCCAATCCAACTACCAGTTTGACGTCATATACGACAACTCACAATCCAACGACCAGTTTGACGTCACATACGACAACTCCCAATCCAACTACCAGTTTGACGTCATATACGACAACTCACAATCCAACGACCAGTTTGACGTCACATACGACAACTCCCAATCCAACTACCAGTTTGACGTCATATACGACAACTCACAATCCAACGACCAGTTTGACGTCACATACGACAACTCCCAATCCAACTACCAGTTTGACGTCATATACGACAACTCACAATCCAACGACCAGTTTGACGTCACATACGACAACTCCCAATCCAACTACCAGTTTGACGTCATATACGACAACTCACAATCCAACGACCAGTTTGACGTCACATACGACAACTCCCAATCCAACTACCAGTTTGACGTCATATACGACAACTCACAATCCAACGACCAGTTTGACGTCACATACGACAACTCCCAATCCAACTACCAGTTTGACGTCATATACGACAACTCACAATCCAACGACCAGTTTGACGTCACATACGACAACTCCCAATCCAACTACCAGTTTGACGTCATATACGACAACTCACAATCCAACGACCAGTTTGACGTCACATACGACAACTCCCAATCCAACTACCAGTTTGACGTCATATACGACAACTCACAATCCAACGACCAGTTTGACGTCACATACGACAACTCCCAATCCAACTACCAGTTTGACGTCATATACGACAACTCACAATCCAACGACCAGTTTGACGTCACATACGACAACTCCCAATCCAACTACCAGTTTGACGTCATATACGACAACTCACAATCCAACGACCAGTTTGACGTCACATACGACAACTCCCAATCCAACTACCAGTTTGACGTCATATACGACAACTCACAATCCAACGACCAGTTTGACGTCACATACGACAACTCCCAATCCAACTACCAGTTTGACGTCATATACGACAACTCACAATCCAACGACCAGTTTGACGTCACATACGACAACTCCCAATCCAACTACCAGTTTGACGTCACATATGACAACTCACAATCCAACTACCAGTTTGACGTCACATACGACAACTCCCAATCCAACTATCAGTTTCCTGTCACAAATGACAACTCACAATCCAACTATCAGTTTCCTGTCACAAATGAGAACTCACAATCCAACTACCAGTTTCACGTCACAAATGACAACTCACAATCCAACAACCATTTTGACCTCCCAAATGACAACTAACAATCCAACTACCAGTTTGATGTCACATACGACAACTAACAATCCAACGACCAGTTTGATGTCACATACGACAACTAACAATCCAACGACCAGTTTGATGTCACATACGACAACTAACAATCCAACGACCAGTTTGACGTCACATACGACAACTCACAATCCAGCTACCAGTTTGACGTCACAAATCACAACTAACAATCCAACTACCAGTTTGACGTCACATACGACAACTCACAATCCAGCGACCAGTTTCACGTCACAAATGACAACTAACAATCCAACGACCAGTTTCACGTCACAAATGACAACTCATGGATATACTGATCCCTCAAAGGCATCGTAAGTGTGCAGTTACCAGTGGATATCATGTTTAAAACTCTGTTACAGAATATTAAGTATTTAAATCCATTTTTCAGAGAAGCCTTAGGCAATCTGGAGTCTAAGATGGAAGAGATGGAAAAAAGCAATAAAAGCAATGCAATGATTGTCACAGAGGATGGTGTTGGTTTTCTTCATGTACAAGCCAAGAACAGAGAAACCAAAGACATAAATATATGCTACTCTTCAGATCATGCCACGGTAAACATAAGAGCTAAGATGCATTAAAACATTGTATGATTCATCAATTATCATGTCAATTCTTCTTTTCACAGGTTGTTGAGAGTCAAAGTGACCTGATTACTAACTGTCCCTGGTTAACAAAAATTTCCAAGGAGGCTTTTGATAAATCACGTCTTGAAAACAATGGAACTGCATTTGTTGGAGTTCTACGGTTCAAAAACTTGAGATATAAGGTACTGCATGCTTCTATTTTTTTTTTCCCCCGTATGGAAAGATTCTTAATAAATCTACTGTTGGACAAATGTTTCTCGATCAGTTATGTTCACACACATTTATATCTGATTCATGATTGCTCTCTTGGTTCTGATTTAGAATGAAACTGAAATTCACACTGTTTTGAACAATGAGGTTTATGGAATAACGATGAGGGCCAAAATCTCCAACCTTACCAACAATATTGACATGTTCTTCAAACATAAAGATCTGGTAATGAAGCTTTTGTTGCTGAACTTTTGTTATAATGATCAGACAATGTGAAATCAAAATTAAAATGAATGTGTTTTTACAGACCGGTAAGGCGTCCTGTGTTTCTTGGGATGGCAAAGGTACATTCATTTATGGCTGTACTGATCAGTTCCTATCAACAAACCCAGTTCATTCAGTTTTTTTTTTAAATAATCAGTTTCATTCGTTGCTCTCTTTTCTTTGAAGGAAAACTTAATTGGACAGCATTTGGCTGTAAGACAGAAATCATCAACAACACCATAAAGTGCTCCTGCTCACATCTGACGTTCTTTGCAGTGCTGATGGTGAGAAGCTTCTCAGAGAAGAAGAATTTATGCTTTTGTAATTCATGTTTAAAAGATTCCATTAAATCAATATCAGTCTTTTAGTCCGTCCCATGCTAGCGAACATGTAAACGATGAGAAAGAAATGCTTTTAAAAATCCTCCTGTGGATCTGTTTCATTGTTTTCTTAGATCCCTCAGTCAGATGCAAACATCACAGCACCACATCTGGAATCACTGACTTTAATCTCTTCTATCGGCTGCGGCATCTCCATGTTTTTTATGACCGTCGCTTTATTCATGCATTTCCTGCTACGGTAGAGTATCTTAAAGTATATTATATAGTTAGTGCTGTTTAGTAATCAGTAATCACTAATACTACACTAAGAAACAATTTTCACTCAGAAATTGCTGAACTTGCATTTGAGAAACAGCAATGCATTGAATTAAACTTGAAATTTTGAATTTTAAAGACTGAAATAGTATTTACTTGTAAAGTGATGAGATTAAAGCTCTAAAGTATTACAAGAACAGTTGTTTTTGTGTTTTAATAGGAAAGCCAAATCAAATCAGGCCACGAAGATCTTGATGAACATGTTTGTGGCTTTGTGTCTACTGAATGCCTCGTTTTTGTCAAACGAGAGCGTCGCTAACACACAAGACAACACTGCGTGCGTCTTCATAGCGCTGCTCCTGCATTACTCCATGCTGGCCTCATTCACCTGGTTCTTCATTCAAGCTCTTCATATGTACTTATGGCTCATCAGACAGAACGTCACCATCACAAACTACATGAGGAAGATCACCGTGTTGGGCTGGGGTGAGTTAGAGCAAGAGAACAACATTTATAGTGTTGCCTTTTGGTAATAAATCTGTTTACCGCCAGCTAGTCAAAACTTTACAATAAGGTCCCTTTAGTTAATGCTTTAACAATGAGCAATATATTTGTTACAGTATTTATTATTCTCTGTTAATGGTAATTAATAAAAACTACAACTGGTCATTGTTAGTTCATCGTAGCTCAGGTCCATATAGGTGTGCATCACACAATTTTAATGCACTTTAAAGCTTTTAATGCAATAATTGAGTATATAGACAGGCTGTGTTTACAAAAGTTTATTAAACTGACACTATGGGCCTGTTTACACCTGGTCACTTCATGCATTTTCCCTGGTCAGATAGCTATCCGATCGTGAAAAGACCAGGTATAAATGCCCTCCGAAACGCTTTTGAGATGGATTTAAATCCGATCGTTCAAACCACTTCAGGAGGTGATCTGGGATGCATTCCAGACGAAACTGGACAAGTGTAAATGCATCTGGTTGTTTAAACCACATTCCTCCCAAAATGTTAAAATAATAAATGTGTGAAAGCGTGTCAGGCTATATGTGATCCTGGAGCACAAAAGCAGTGTTAAGTCGCTGGGGTATATTTGTAGCAATAGCCAACAATACATTGCATGGGTCAAAATCGGATGATGTATAAATCTCAATTTCACAAAATTGACCCTTATAACTGGTTTTGTGGTCCAGGGTCACATATGACATGTCATAGCCAGATATGACAGCGCTAATGTAACATGCATTGCCGTGGGTGAGTAGCTGACGCGCAAACTGCCGCAAATGAAACTGAAAGTAAGTCACAGTTTCTCAACACACAAACACTTTCATTATCTTCCAGTGCTGATCTGATGCCGCTCTCTCTCCCGTTGTGGCTTTTGATCTTGAAATTAGCTGATGATGAATAAAATGCGCATATGTGTTGATTCATTGACGTGAACTCCATTAAATTTGCATATAGCGCGGGAATTAAAGATCGGATGTCCATTTTGGGGAGACACATTTATGTGGCCAAGTGTAAATGGAACAGTTTTTAAAAATTAGAGTGATATCTGATCAGAGAAACCGCATAAAGTGACCGTGTAAACAGGCCCTATATCTTTACTTTGGGCATAAGGAAACAAATCATGTGTATCTGGGGAAAAAAAAACAGTTGTAATGAAACTACAACTATAACTATTGTGTTTTCTGTGTTTTTTAGTGTGTCCCGCTCCAATAGTCTTAGTTATCGTTTCTGTAGGAGGATATGAAGCTGTGATCCTAAACACAACATCTGAGAAAATCACACGAATGTAAGTTGTTCTGATGTTACAAATTAATACATTTCTGTATTTCTTATTTAATTCTCTTTAATTACAGGTGCTGGATTACAAATCCTTACATTCACTACATAGTGAACATCGGCTACTATGCTTTAGTTTTCGTCTTCACGACAGGAGTCTTCATCATGATCGTCACTAAGGTCGTTCAGGCCAGAAACATAAGATCGACTGACGACAAGAGAAAGACGTTCAGAAAGCAGCTGATGATGGTGTTGAGTTTGTTCCTGCTCTTCGGTCTGACGTGGTCTGTGGCGTTCTTCAGTTATGGACCGATGCTCATTCCCTCATATTACATATTCACTGTGTTGAACTCATTACAGGGTGAGAAACAATCACATGCATCAGTACATTTGGTTTAGTAGTACGCTTCTATTTTTCCTACAGATTACAGCAAATTATTTGAATTAATTCATTAATGATTTTTTAAATATTATTTATTTTTATTTTAAATTTTTACAATAAATTTTTTTGTTTGATAACATTTAATTTAATATATATTGAATTTAATTATTTTATTGCTTATAAGGGGTTTTAATGGGACTTATTTGACCAAAGGTTTGATTATTTTTAGTCATACATTAGTTTAAAAGACATGCATTAATTTATATCTGAAATGTATTTGAATTAGTTGAAATAAGCTTCTCTCATTCTTTTTTCAGGGTTTTTTCTCTTCCTGTATTACTACCACATTCACAATGACATTGCGGGTAATTTCTCAGATGATCCAGAAAGCACCGACTCCGCTGTTTAATCAAGCATTAATGCTTTGGGAAAATATTTATAACTAGCATAATTAGGACAGAAGGCTTTCTTTGTCTCAGACTTTCTTACACTGATTTCTTAAACTGATCTGTACATGTGTTGTTTGAGGGGAAACTGTGTATTCTCACCAAAATCAAGCTTAAAAACAACACAAAGACAAAAGTCACTTTTGAACAAGAAAGAACTGCTTAAAATAAGGCATGCACATAAAATTTTAGTCCTAAAATGTTGATCATTACTGTAACAGTCTATTATTGTGCACTGAATTGTGCTTTCAAATCTCTGATATGATCTGATATTACTGTTAGATTTACTGAGCGTTGTAATCATCCATGTGTGTATCAGAGCAACTCAAATAACACTGAACCTTTCTTATTTAGAAAACAAATTTACATCTTCACTATGAATGTCAACGCACCATTGTATTCAGAAATTTGCATGGTCATTTTATAAAGACCCATGCACTGGGTTTTCAAAATCCACGCATGGATGTGAAACATTTGGTTACTGGAAACACAACAAACAAACAACCAAACAAAAAAACCTGTCAGAATCAGCTGGTGATTTGTGCATTATTTAATAATTTATACCTACAGATGTTCTGTTATATCTCAGTATTTCTCATGTGAGTGTGATGAAGCTAATAAAACATCATTCTTCATCATGATGGACTTTCAGTGGCTCCAAAAACATTTATTGTGAACATCATTCATTAGATGACAAAACAAAGCAAAATAAAAAAGCAAGTGACATTTATTGTAAAGAAAGATTGTAATTCGTTGTTTCTATGCAAAATGTTCAAACTTGCCCTTTTCTGTATGGGAATCTGATAAATATTCATAATTAATCTAAATATAGCCTCTAATAAATGGGTCATTCCATGAATTTGGTGCCTTTTGCGTCCCTAAGAAATAATCAAACATAGATTTAATATAACAACAAATAAATGTGCAATTTAAAAACATAATACTATGTATGCTTTCATCAATATGACATCAAAAAAGTCAAATTAAATATTATTTTAAATAATTTAGATAGCATTTATGCTGGTAAGGGTAAGGTTTTTGGCCTGTCCCTCACTATGATTTTTCTTTTTCAGCAGGACTTTTAATTTGCAAAATTATATAAAAATCACATTTGCATATTGTTCTAAATATAGTCTCATTGTTAAGCAATGTTTTTGGCATAAGTACGCATTTTTTCTATAAAATATCAATCATTTTATTGGTGTCCCCTTATTTCATGTCAGCCCTGTTACCCTCATCAAAAAACCCTTGTAAAATAATGTAACTCAAACATTTTAAAGGTCACCCTCGGTATATTATTGAGCTAATGCCTATATCATTCAGTGGCATATGAGTTCTAATTAAACTGTTGTGTCTAGTAACGCTTGTGTCGGTAACAGGGTTGACAAAAATACCAAAACATGAGGTAGAAAAATTGTCATAAAATAATAAATTACAGAGCCTGAGATGGCACAATACAATTTCTTGTTCACTTTTTGCCAAGTGCAAAAGGCACCGATTTCATGGAATGACCCAAATGTTATGCTTCATTGGCATTCTGTTGCTGCTTTTATTAAATATAAATATACATTTTCTACATATACATTGTTCTTTGTGAGCAATGGTGGCTTGATAAACTGGACCTGAATGTAACCAGGTAATGAAATTCTCAGATAAAGCCCAAATAAACATGATTTGCATGCTTTCAAATGAACTGTATGTCAGTGTCCAGCGGCTTTGAGCTGCGGCTCATAATCAAACACCTTGATATGTGGGTGTTTCATCAAACTCTCTCAACTCCTGGACTGTGGACTTCAGCTCTAGAATGTAATAAGAAAATGATTAAAGATTTATTTCTGAAACACTATGTGGGCGTCTATCAGGCCGCTGTCTCTGAGAATTATGTCTCTACAAAAGCAGAATTTGCTGTGGCTGATGATCATCTGTTGTGCTTCATGCCAGTTAAGTATGTTGCTTTAAAAAATGTATTTATCAATTGAAAATTTTTATATATATATATATATATAGATAGATAGATAGATAGATATATATATAGATATAGGTGCATCTCAAAAAATTTGAATATTGTGAAAAAGTTCATTTTTTTGTAACATTTCAAAAAGTTAAACTTTCATATATTCTAGATTCATTCTATGTAAAGTAAAACATTTCAAAAGTTTTTTTGTTTTAATTTTGAT